ATATCTATAAGAATATATAGGAATGGCATGGTGGTCAAATGACTCACTTTCTTCTGCTAGTAGGAAGTATTTGTGGGGGGAAAAAAAAAGGAAAAAAACCCGAAACAACCCCAACCAAAAAAAATCCCAAACTCCTGGCATAATGCTCATTTTCTGCAATATACTGAACTGTCAGTCAGTCAATACTCTCTCAGTACTTTAGAAAAGGTGAGCAACTCATCAGCACTGATTTAATTTCAATTGCTTGACTTAGAACACCAAGCTTCAGGACTTCTAGAAGCCTTCATAATATGGTTGTAAAGAAATGTGACTTTTCAAATGTGGAAGTTTATTAATTATTCTAGAATGTTTTACAACCCATTACTCCTAAAAGTCTATTATGCACGTTTCTTCCAGCAGCTTTTTCTAAGGACTTTCATTATATTCTCTGTAGAAAACTCTTATAAAAAAAAGTGAGAAGATACACAAAATTCTTGCAGCCTTGTTACAAGCTGTCATACTGGCAATCACTATTTTCACTAATGACACTTCAAGATGTATTTTTAAATTATTTAAGAGAGCTATAGGGACTACCAGCCTTGGGATACTAGCAGTGTTAAATGTTGGCTCTTCTAGGCTTTTGGTAATCCTAGCATTCCTTTTTCTTCACTTGGTATACGGTTTGTGAGATTTCAGTAATTCGGATTAGATATAGTCAAACCAGAGTATTCCAAAACTCATTGTGAAAGGTCGCCAGCATTTAAGCATTACATTTAAGAATGAAACAAGAGCACTGAATTAATCCTTTTTTGCCATTTTTCACTGTTGCAGAAGTGCTAACAAACACTTCACACAATTCATCAACTGCTTGAGCTGCACTTCACATGTGCCTTCAAAACCTGCTCTGAGAACTGTGAGCCTGGTGCCCAGCAACATCCGTGCAGAGGACCTGGACCTTTCTGTAGCTACTCAACTTGGCAATGTCAGTCTGAATTGGAACTTTGCAGAAGTCACTCTCAGAGATTTTTTTCTTCTTAACTTCACCTTAAAACAAAACGTATGAGATACTGATGTGCTCCAAATACTTTCGAAAATATTTTTTTTCTGTGAGAAAATGGAGAAGCAGAAATGGGAAAGGGGGACTGAGAAAGAACTGGGGAAGAAGAGAGTTTGCTGTGATCAGAGAGATGAAGAGAATGGACGTGAGGATCAGTGCAAGGATGAAAACAGGTAATATAGCAAAAAGAATCTGAGATGCTTATAACTGGCATGATGGTATTTAAAAAACAGAAGAAATCAAATTTGATGCCATGCTGTAATGAAGCCTTTTAAAGGTAAAATAGAAGGAGAATCCTAAGTCAGACACCAAAGCCTACTTTTTTTATCCTCTGTCTCCAGGCATTTACAAAAATAAGAAGCCTGAGATCTAGTGATCAGATTAATGCTGTCTCCCAAAATTTAAGAAAGTATCAGTTTCCATAACCAATATAATTAATATGCTAGAAAGTGTATTATAAAAAAGAGAAGAAAGGAATGTCTTATACCTCTTTCTTTTCCCCCCTGCACAACCCCATACTTCCATTTTCCCTCATTTGAGAAGAGCAAACACCCCTGAGGAGTATCAAAATATTATTCTGATCTCCTCTCAAATCATCTGGAGCCTGAAGGGATCTTGAATGTCTGGGGAACTCCTCTCTTCCTGTGCCTCATGTTTCCCAGTGCAGAGAAGCTGCTGGAAGATCTCTCCTTTGGGGGGGAATGGGGTGGGGGGGGGTCATTAATCCAAGGTGGTTAAACAGTGGGATCATGAAATTAAAATCTCTTAAGCCTCAGAAAGACAAAATTGTGGCACAGATAATGCATATTCATGGTGGAAAGTTGACTACAGTAAGAAAATACTCTGGTTCATGTGGGACTGCCTAGGGAGGATATGGAGCAGCCTGACAGAAGGGAAAGGCAACAACCTACCTGGATGACACAGATGAAAGGGGCATAAACCTGGTGCAAATACAGTGTGCTGCACAGTGAGCCACGTGTGTGACCCCACCTGTGACATACACACTGCTACCACAGTTGACATGTGCCCCCACTGTCTGACAGGCTCCATGGGGCAAGAAGGGAACTATAATAGAGTAGTGTAGGCACAGTATTTTCTGTGACACTGCACAGCAAAGCTGTCTGCTGTTAGGAATGGTCGGCCTACCTTTTTCTCCACACAGTCCAAATATTTTTAAATGGGATCATGAGATCCACTCCCACAAGACAGAAATCGTGACAGGTGCTTGGAAACCACGTAGTATTTTCCAGCTAGCCTCAATAACTGCAAATGTAAAACCAATCATTAAGGTGCTATGAAGAAGAAATACACTGCTAATAAAAATTTTGTAGGAAGTTCAATAGCACTAAGCTTTACTAGTGCAGTATAGTGGGAGTTTCATGGTATTTGTCCCTCTTCTAGAATGTGAAGTTCAGAAAAATTGAAAAAATTTAAATCAATCTGCCAGCAACAAAACTTGCAAAATGGAACACCAAGTGAAGGTCATACAACCTCTGTTTTACCTTAGTTAGGGAATAGTTATCCCTAGACACACATTTGTACCTTGTATTCAACAGGTTGCGAACCTCAGCCATCTCCATTCTTCCTGTAATCAAATCAATATCTGGGGGAAAAAACCCTTCTCACTACTGTCACCAGTTCCTGTAGTTTCATCATCCATCCTTAAACCCGCATGTCACACTTATCTCTCACTAAACTGCTGGCAAGCCCATCACGACACCATCACTTCATCCTCAAGCTGAAACTCTACAGGGCAGCAAGGAAACCAATGCCACACCACATATCCATCAGCTGATCCCCTTGACCCAGATGCAGATGGCAAAATAGACAGGATCCATATCTGCATTCAATACCAGGAAGTATATAATCCTTTTTCGTTACTGCCAGCTCTCAGAAAAAAGTGATTACAGATTTTGAGAGTGCGCAGCTTCCTCTTCTAGATCTTAAACGTTTGAAGCAACAGCATGTATCTTTTAATTTTATTTCCTTCTCAACTCAACTTAGTATTATAGCACTCAAAGCCTACACAATAGACTTGCTGTTTTATCAATATTATAAATTCCACCTTTGAGGAGTCTCTCTCATATAAAGCACAAGAATAAACAGAAAAATGAACAAAATGGTTTAATATAACACAGCTCTATAATGTATGTGTTTTATCTTTTATGCTGTCACCTATTTTTATGTACAGACTGTAGCATGTTGAGGGTGGGAGAGCATAAAGGGAGTGAAAAGTTAGATCCTACTACTCAAATTCCAGAAACAGTATTTGGATATAAACCAATTCCTTCTGAGGCTGTGACTGCTAGAAGTGCTAAATCTCATGCTGATTCTCAACAGAACAGACTTTTTTTTCTAACTTCTTGGTAGAAGGCAAAAGATCTTTAGCAACATGCAAAGTTAGAAAGTAGGAATACACAGCCTGACAATTTTTCTAGAGGAAGAAAAAAACAACAGTACCATTGTTTTCACCTGTCACTGTTTTCAGAGACAAAATCTGCTTTTGTGTTTGTAATTCTGTTGCTCCTGTAGGAGTAGAACATGACAGAATTGAAGACCAGGAGGGACTGCATCCATGCATGCATGACAGAAAATAGAACACTGAAAAATTCAAAGTTTGGGTAGTACTTAATTAAAGCTATCAGTTCTGTTTCTGCCTCCTTCTGTGGCCTTACCAGAAGATGTTTATCTGATCAACTATGTACAAAATGCAAAAAAGCACTTGGATCAGGACACCTGTGATTACAACAATTATGAAGCATTTACATTCTATATTCATGCATATTTAAAATTGCCAGATTGAAATGAGTCCTTTTCTATAATATTACATTTGCCTCATACTCCATTTCTTGCTGATGACAAAAACCATGATGGCAATCACAGAACGCCGTCTGAAATGAAGCTGTTCACTGCTCAGGAACAAACTTATGGTACTAATCTGCCAATAGCTAGAACATAAAATGTCAAAACTGTATGAATTCAGTAAGGAAATACTGGAGTCATTTAGATGACAGAGAAGGTTAATAAAATGCAAGATACTGAAAATGTATATGATACATAGAAACCAGATCAGGCATTGGAGAAAAAAATGTCACTTTGCATTTTCTGTGTTTCTTTTGACAATTGTAAAACGAGTCATGGATGATTCTCTTCCTGAAATTTTCTGCTTTGAATTTTTCTGTTTGCAACAAACTCACATTATAAAAGGGTGATCTAATGAAAACCCACATGCCTAAGATATATAAAGATGCACTTCATATAAGGCACAATTCAATCCCAAATCTGATTACTAGAGAACATCATCAAGTTAATTACCCATAAAATATTTGATTCACATGGTAAATTCTAGAGGTATTTGCTTAAATTTTCAGAAGTCGCTAAATGATCCTGCTAAATGTGTGTGTTGTGTTTCCCATGCCACTTCTGGTATTTTCAGTCACTACCTTTTCTAAGAAGCATGTCAGTTTAGGTCCAGCACTTCTCCAGAAACTCCTTCCTATTTTGGACATTTTAAATGTCTTTTCAGAGATCCTTTTTGTCTAGCACAGCACAGTGTAAAGTGGAATTAAACTTGGGTGATCCACAGAAACCCACACTCAAGAAGTGCTTGCGGAGCAGACCAATGTAATCCCTTAAGTCCTCAGGAAATTCAGCTTCAATCACATTTGAATACAGTCATATGTTCAGATATGTAAAGGTTCATGTGCTCTATTAAGAGATTTGCATATGATGGGATGCAGAAGTCTGCATCATCCCACCAGACAAAATCAGAGGGAGATACAACTCCCACAGAAGCCTTAACTCCCTGCCTACAGTAAATCCACCCCAAAAGCAAGATCAATTCTGATTTTGTGTAAATCTGGTGTAAGACCATGATAATACTGAAATCACCCTTCCCTAGTAAAGCAATAATAAAAGCACCAAAGTCAGATATCATATATCATTTGTAAGGAAGGACTCCTACCTTTTCAGCTTCATATAATTTTCACTAGCTGCAGGTCTGCATTCAGCACGTTGCACCACTATTCCTTCCAAGGCAAGTTTATCTAGAATGAAAAGAAAACAAAGTAAAACTGGACATTAAAAATAAGATCCACCAAGATGGTCAACATTAGAATTATTTTTCACTAATTAAGAATTTACTAAATATAACATAATTTTAAATTCTCAAATCAAGTTCTAAATTCTCTGCTATTTAGACACCAAATAAAGAAGCAGAAAAATGTGTTTGTATAGCTGGTATACCCTAGACTTTCTTGTTTTGCATACTAAAAATGAATCACAGAGATCAAATTTTAAATAAGACATTGCAACTCCTTTCTCTAGATATTGCACTCAGATTATTATCTAGGAACTGTTTTCTGTAAATGGGCAATTAATACAATCAGTGACTATGAAAAAAATAATCTACAAAGAGAACCCGATAATCTGAGTATCCAAAATTAGTGGAAGATAAAACAAAAGCTAATTTTGTCCTTATTCTCAGGAAAAGAGTACTACATATTCCTCTTGTTACAATTTTTTTAAAAAGTACACTAAAGGAACACAATGCAAAAAATATATGGTAACAGTCAGGGAAAAGAAGTAAAAGCCTTCAGTTAGTAATCTAGGACACCACATACATGTATTTAGGTAGAACTCCTCTCTGTACATTCACGTCTGTGATGCAGTCACTTAGTTACCCTACATGACCACCTTCTGCCTAAAGCAATGATGACTAACAGAGCAGTACCAGCCTACACCATAAAGGTAGGTAAACCCAAAAATTAAAGCAACTTGATGCAGAAATGAAGAGAGAAGTGGTGGTGAGCAAACTTCTTCACTTCTACCATGATGTTCTGGTGCATAATGTGTGGATGTGGAAGGAGCGCATGTCCATTTATTCATCTCTCTGGGCATAGCCAGTGCAATATGTGTTAAACAAACACCTCTGGAAGAGCCTTGCATTACAAGAAAGGATGAGTTTTAAAGGCTTGATTAGCTCTTAGTATTAAAATGTCCTTCCAAAGGCACTACACTGTCACTGTCACCTTCTGCTGGCAATGTCACAGAAGATGACAGAAATGCTTAGAAATACTGATGCCCAAGTAACCCAAGGCGCTTTGACACTGCTGGGTTTCCTATTATCTTATAGACTGAAATATTAATACATCTGCACATCTAAATCTGCTCTCCCTGAATAATGTCAGAAGCAATTACTTAGACATCATGTATTTTAAAATTATTTAATCTAAAATTGCTTGGATTTATTCAAACTAAATCTTTGAAAGCAGTAAGAATGCCATATTTTTTCAGATAGGTTTGAATGAAACAGAGAAAATTTGTTTTAAAACACTTGTAATTTTGTGGATTCCCAGGTTAATGGTCAAAAGAGACAACTTGAAAAATGTGCCTGACTTACCATATATCATGAACAGAAAAATTTTATGGTCTTTCTTCTTTACAGAATCTAGTAACTCATTTGTGGCTAAAATGGTACTAATATTGCTGCTTAATTTTTAATAAGAATTTGACTTCAGCTTCTAGAAGTTGGTTATTATGACTTTCTATACTATAAAGAGCCTTTCAGTACCTGGTGTTTTCTCTCTTTGAAAGTACTTATAAATTGTAATCAAGTTGCTTTTCAATCATCTTTTCAATAAAAGCCAATTTAAGCTCATGCATTACATCATCACAAGACATTTTTGCCATACTTAAATCAGTCTGGGGTTTCTTATTTGCATCTTGTTCAATTTCGAAATGATATTTTAAGATTACAGAGACCAGAAACCAGACATAATACTACTGTACTGATTTTATGAAAACCATATATGGAAGTAAAATAACAGATACAGGAGCTGGAATTTCTCTCCCCTCACTTAAGCCACTTGAAGGTTATTCAGCAGAATCTATGAATTCAGCTGAGAGAGAGAGGAAGGAAAACTGTCAGGAAAAAAATGGTCCCATCTCTTTTAGAATTCAATTATTTTCCGGTGGTTTTTTGTTGTAGGGTTTATTTTGGAGGAGAGAGCACATGGTGTCTGTGTCCCACGACTGCTTCATCCTAAAACTGGGTTAAGATCAATTGGTCTCTAAAAACCAAGTTCTGGAAGTTTGTGGAGTTGACTATTACTAAAACAACTATTTTGAGTCTTAGCTCTAAGCCTCACATTTTACCTATGTGCTCTGTATTGCCTAGGTGTATAATCGTCTTTGGCTTGGTGAAAATGCATTGTCTTTAAAACAGATTCTGTGAATTAAGCAATCCCAGTCACACCGTGACAGTCCTGTCATAGTTATTCACTGTTTGACCAGCATTTGTGCCAATCACGACACATTGTATAAGCAGTGATTCTCACCACTCTCCTTCTTGCTAATCCTGGAGGAAGCCATTCAAACTGCAACTCAACTGCCTTCCTACTCATAATTCCTTTCTGCTAACTGTCAGCTAGTTTTTAATCTTGTTCTGTGCTTGCTTTGGTTTTTTTTTAGCTATAAATCAAAATGTCACAAGGATCTAGACTATGTGCAATAGGAAATGTTAAGCAGGCTGCAAATGTGCTGTTGCTTTAAACTCACAATCTTCAAAATAAACAAAATTAGGTTTGACCAGAAAAACTTTACATAAAGCCATGTTTGCTAATGTAATGTTTCATTCATTACATTTCCAATCTTATCTATCTCTTGAACTCCATAACAATTTTTCTGCTCATTTCTATGGTATAGGTTTCAAGGCTAGCTAACCTATATTCATCTGAACCAACTAACCCAACTGCCTGAACACTGACATGTCACTATCAATTTCCCTGCACCTTGCACAATTTTCAAATTATTTTTAAGTTTTAAGGATCAGGATCAGTAAAGCAGAGTTCCCACCCACCAACTATTTAGGAACTGAACATGCCAATTAAACATGTTTATCCGTAATATTACTACAGAATCACATAATGGTTTGAGTTAGAAAGGACCTTAAAAATCATTCAGTTCCAACCCCCTTGTCATGGTCAGGAACATCTTCCACTACACCACGTTGCTCAAAGCCCCAACCAACCTAGCCTTGAACATTGTCAGGGTTCAGGAATCCACAACTTTTCTGGTATCTCATCTTTGATGTCTTGGCTAATACCCTCTTTTAATTACCACTGATTCAGATTTGACTTTTGCAGTCAAAGCCAGACAAAATGTTCCAATCATTTCATGTACAAGGCTGTGCATGGTCTTCCAAACACCGCATTGCAGCTAAACTTGTCTGCTGTCTCAGGACATCCACTGTCCAAAAGGCTTATGTCCCACTTTCCCTGGACCCTCTTAGGGATTTTAACACAACTTTAGAAGCTAGCAGAATACATAATGATCAAAGACACACACAAACGTCCGGATGCAAGACTGTAGTGTGGGAGCACAGTTTTTATTCCCTTTGCAGCCTAATTAGTCTTCATTCACCAAACTCAAATTCAGACATGAGTCTGTCTTCAACTGTTGCAGAGATGCAATGAAAAGATACCCAAAATGCTACACACCTGCCTTGATATTTCCACAGTCACATCAGTCTAGAAGGTAATGGATGAATGAGGCATGAAAGTGGTAGTTCCCTGTTAAAAACACCTACTCAAAGTAGATAGTACAAAATAAATACATAGATCTGAAAGATTATCTAAGATCAGTGATGAGAAGGGAAAATAGCACATTTTCCCAAAAATCTATCACTCTCAGTTGGCCAACATGTGTTGGCAGGTACAAAGTACCTGCTTAGTGCAGCTCCAGACAGGCTCCTCCACAGAATCCATAGATTCATTATTAGCTGCCAAATGTGTGCTCACCCTGACCTCCCTGCCTGAATGCCTTGGTGCCAGTTCATAAAGCAATTTCAACTATTTACTCAGTGAGATGATAGATATGCTGGGGAGACACAGATTCCAGCTTGGAATTCTGCTGACAATCATTATCAAAGAACAGAATATGGTAGAAACATTTAAGCCAATGTTAATAAACAGGCAGGAGAGAAACTTACTGGAGTTATGCAGCAGATGATCTGATAGGGGTTGGATTGTTGTAGTTTTTAGAGAGATGGACTGGCTTGGAGATTTTAATGTATTAATCTTCTAGTCTGACTGCATTCAGCTTTGATTTCCACTGTCTTGCTGGACCATTGACTGCTAAGCTGAAGAGCCTGCTAGGAAAGCATTTCTGCCCATCCAGGCACTTATATAAGTCTCCACCTTTATCAAGCCTAATAACAATAAATCACGTTTTCTTAAACCTTCCATTACGCTAATTCTTCAGCTTCTTAATTGTTCTTATTGGCCTGAGAAAGTCCAGTTCATGTATGTCTCTCACAGCCAGACTTGACAGCACGTGGGTCTGGAGCTTACTAACCCCTCTGCCTTGTGAGTGGTGCCAAGGAAAAAAGGAGAAGACCACACTCAGGATGTATGGTTCCCAGGCAGCAGGAAAAAGGACATGAAAGCGCAGTAAGGACAGGCTGTGGGCACATGTGCCTCCAGCTTCTCAGCTGTTAGAAGATGGGCTGATGGCTCCCAGCTGTCATGGTTTAACCCCAGCCAGCAACCAAGCCCCACACAGCCACTCACTGCCCCACCAGCAGGATCAGGGAGAGAATCAGAAGGGTAAAAGCTGGAAAACTCATGGACTGGGATAAAGACAGGGCCATATCATATATAACAGTTAATCAGGAAGATAAATGTTATCACTCCAAATGTCCCCCCTCTTCCTCCTTTTTTCCCCACTTAATACACTGAGCATGATGTCACACGGTCTGGAACATTTGGTCAGTTTAGGTCACCTGTCTTGGCTGTGTTTACTCCCAGCCTCTCATGCACCCCTAACTTCCTCACCAGTGTGTCAGTACAAAAAGCAGAAAAGGCCTTGGCTCTGTGTAATCCCTGCTCAGAAATAACAAAAACATCTCTGTATTATCAACCCTGTGTTCAGAACAAATCCAAAACACAGCCCCGTACCAGCCACTGCAAAGAAAGTTAACTCTAGCCCAGCCAAGATCAGCACACAAGCATTCAAGTCAGAAGCCCTGGTAAGCTCACACTGCTCA